TTCCTACATTTCTACAACAGAAACCATTTTCCCAAATAACAGAAAAACTTTGCTAAAAAATAAACAAGAAATGTACGGGTAGTCACTTTTCAAAACTATTCTTATATTTCACAAGTTGGAAATAGTTATCTTTTTCTGAACGAAAATGAGATTTCCTTTTTTTTTTCAATGAAAAGCAAAAGTAAATTTCTACACATATTTTTAGTTTTAGTTGTATAGATTTACAAAGAAATATATATAATATGCCATTGATTTCCATTTTTCTTTTAAAGAGACTTTAAAAATGATGGCTAAAATTATCTGAGATCAAAATATTGTTTCAATCACTCTTAAATCATTAAATCTCATTAAATCTAAATTTGTTTTACATCAATATTTTATACTTAATATAAAAAATTTTTTCACAAAAAATGTCCCTTAAACAATTAGCATGGGTTAGATATTTAATTTGTCAAATTAAGATTAAAGACAATTATTTTAATTTACAAGCATGAATTACATGTTAATTATGTGATGAACATGCCAGTTGCATCAGAAAGTAGTTATGTAGTTAGAAACCATACCAAATTAGAAATTTTTGTCATTGCTCTATTTTTATGAAATATTTTTTAAATAATTCATATTTTAGATTGTATAGACCATGTATAAGCACAAAATCAAGAGTCATACTTAAAGTAAAATATTTTATAAGCATTTAAAAGCAATGTCTATTTTTCTATTCAGCATGGATTGTAATATTTGCTATAGAGAGTGCCATGAGTGAAAAGATAATTAATGTACTCTTCTTACATAGATGTAAAAAGAATAAATGGTTTTGTAGAAGGGAAAACAGCTTACCTACCAGAACAACAGTATATGTATATGTCTCATGTGCAAAATACATGACAGAAAATATATCCAATCCAAAAAGTTACCATTTAAGAACAACTCGTTCTCTTGAAGCTTAGGGATTTTGCAGGACTAATAAAAAATGCTGGGGAGAACGCTGATGAGACACCATGGTCGATTGAGTCAAAAAGGCAGAAATTTTATGCAAGATGTGCGGTGTAAAACATCTTGAAAACATAATCCCCTTAAGGTTTTCAGGTGGAGCATTTGCTGTCTACCAAAAGCTGGGAGAAGACGAAAGAGCGGATATTAACTGAATAAAATGCACATTGTATAGGGCTTTTACAATGGATGTATTTGTGGCATATGAGCAATTCACCAAGCAATGACTTCATCATGGGGAATTGGTCAACATATACTTGGTGGAGTGGTAAAAACTAGCAGTATTATTTGGTAGAATGAGTGACAACGGACTGGCATGTGCATTCATGAGAAGATTGCTAGAGCTTCAACATGGATTGATGTGCTAGCAATTGACCAGCTGTTGGCTCGAGTGTAAACAATCATGGACAAGGTGATGGAGAATGTTCTGGCAGTTGCAACAGCACAAACAATACGGGATGGGACAAGGAAGCTTCCTACTGGGCATCCATGTGATAGCATAATATGTCATCATTGCAATGGTGCTAATCATTTTGCAAATGACTGTGTGGGACCACACATTGAAAGGTGAAAACCCCAAATATGCTGCTACAGGTGGAACAAGATAGGCCATAATTCCCCAAATTTCTGGGGAATAAGCCAAGGAAAGAGACTTCAGTGCCAGTCTGCTCCTCAAACTCTATCTGAATGAGGTGCTACCTGCAATAACTGTACGTATCAATGAGATCAAGTGTGCAGCTTTGGTGGACACAGGTTGCTCATGGTAGCTTGTTTGCAGAATGCTTTGTCACTCTTGGAAGAGGAAGGACTTGCTAAACAGTGTGAGTGATAGGTGCCCTATCGATGTTATGGTTCTGGTTGTAGATGTGAAGCTACTGAGGGACAACCTGTAGCTTGAAGTGGACATCACCAAGAGGCTGAGTGGTGTGTGTGTAACAAGCAGTGGCACTGTGAGCTTTTCTTGAACTTGACCGACCTTTGTGCACAGCATCAACAAGCCCAACAATCATACAGAATATGACCTGAACAGAAAGATCTGGGTTGTATCATGGAAATGGTCTGGTGACTGGTCTGGTGACCAAATATCACCCATACTGAAGAACCAGATACCAGAGTATCATGCACCGAAGTAGCTCAGGGAGGATTATACTCACGAACTGCAAACCTAACAAAGATAACGGTTGGCTACTTCCATACCCTGAAGAAAACCTTGGTCCTCCCAAGAGCCTAATCCCACTAATGGCTGTACTACAAGAAAACAAACAGAAGGTCCTCCCTGTTATGGATTATCAGGAACTCAATCAATATGTTGACACATACATAACTAATGCAGATGTTTGTGTGCCTAAATTGAGGGAGTGGCAACAGGAAGGCTCAGACATTGCCATGCTGGATCTGTGCCGGGCTTATCTGCAAATTCATATGGACAAATCTTTTTAGCCCTTTCAAACAGTAGAAATGAAATGGCAAAGGTATTACCTTACACATTTGGGGTTTGGGCTCAATGTGATACCACCTGATCATGTGGACAATCATCAATGCAGTGGTTGCACAAGATGAAAGTATCCAAAGGGCCACATCTTTGTACATCAATGACATATTTGTCAATGAGAGCACACCTAGAATGATTTGGACTGACTAGCATGGGGTTTGCATGTCTGGGAGAAGCAGAGTAAACTGCAATGGAGAGGTGAGAGTGAGCTCCCATGGATGCCTAAGGTAGTAACCCATTGGAGCATATTTTCCCTGTGTGGGAAATTAACCAGACATCTGCCAGTGTGTAGCTAGCTCTGCATTGCAACTGCATTCATGAAATGAAGAGAACATTCTGTAATGTCTGGCTAGGATGATGAAACACATTACCCAATGTTGGTTTGAATGCTGACATCATCATCAGAATAGCATAAAAGGATCCAGTGCATAGAGATTGATGTGTGAATGGACACACATCATATGGATTGACATAAGTTCCTTGGCTACCGGTGTCATTGTAGAAAACAGCGGATTTTTGGTTGAAGAATCATGTTGGCTGTACTCAGTACACATTAACTTGGTAAAGCTCGACGCAATGTTGAGAAATGGAAGGCAATTGTGGTTCGCCTGAAGACAGACTCAGCATACATACATCACTGGGTATCTGATATGCTATCTAGAAAAATGAAAGTGTGCACAAAGGCAACGTCAGAAATGTTAATAAGACATCAGCTCAGCACGCTCAGTGAATTAGCTATGGAATATGAGCTAACAATTGACGTGGGGCTTATCAGATCTCATGAGAACCAAGTCATTAAACTCACCAGGGTGCCTCAATGATTGCTAGATGCACTTAGAAAAGAAATGGAGGCAGTGTGAGCTGTGTCTGTAGAACAACAGGAATCCACTCATATACAAACCATCCATCAACAAAGTGAGCATCCTGCGTGAAGTGCACATTATATTTTGTAAAACAGGTCAGCCCTGAAGTCTCGAAAACAACAGTTCAAACAGTGGTCAGAGACTGCGAGGCATACCAGTCCATAGACCTGGCACCAGTGCATTTGGAAGTTTGTAAGCTGGATGTGTGTGACAATTGGAGCAGGGTAGAAATGGATATAACCCGTTATGGAGATCAGCGTTATCTGACCCTGATAGACTGTGGCCCTAGTTAATTTTCCATTTGACAGCCATTACCATGTCAAGACTCTGCCAGCATCATCCATCAGTTGGAGTCCTTATTCTATGAAAGTGAGCCACCTGTCCAGCTACTCATCGACAATGGTCAAGCATTCCATGGAGAGATATTCGTGAGGTTTGCAGAGGAGTGGGATATCTAACTGAGAATGTGATTACAGAGAGATGTCATCATACCATCAAGTGAATTGCTGCTAGAAGACAATGTTCTATCAGGGAAGCATTATAGTGGTATAACGTGATGCCAAAAGATGACACAACAGCTGTTACAGCACCAACTAACTCTATATACAAATATCCAACCTGCATAAAGGGTGTCAATGTTGCACCACTACTTGAACATATAGATCCTGGAATCTACAGAGTAGGGGATGCTGTCTGGATAAAGGACCCACATGGTCAATGCATAACCCAATTTAAGAAAGGAAGAGTGACAGGCATCTATAACCCACAATCAGTTTTTGTAAATGGAATACCACACCACATCAAAGATCTTCATCCTTGTCACAAATCTATTTTCTCAAAAGATGACAGCAGTGATATGTCATCTGAGAGCGATTCAGGTACGATGCTGCTTTTCAAAGCACAGTTAAATGATTCACCTGCAGAACTAGAAGAAATAGAGTCAGAAGATGACAATGATAATGCCGATAATGACAAAGAGAACCTGTGGACACATGTCACATGTCCACACGTGTTTCTCATGCAAAATACATGACAGAAAATATAACTGATCCAAAAGCTAACATTTAAGAACAACCCATTCTTGGAGATATGTGCGAAGTTTTGCGTTAGTCAGACCAGTTGTGATTTGTAAACTAAACTATGAGAAAAACAAGCAGCTTGCCTGGAGAGACTTTGTCACTCAGGATTAACCCCCACTAAGGATTTTTGCCAGTCACTCGAATTTAAACTACAGGCTTAACTTTATTTTAATGTTTTTAACATTGTTTAGTTCTGGGTAGTTAGCTGTTTGCTTTAATTTTTTTTTACAATTTATAACACCTCCAGCAAAGTGTTTTTAAAACTATTTTTGACTAGATCAATTTGCCTTAATGTATTCCAAATGATAAATTAAAATAGATAATACATAAACATTTTAAGCAGTCATGTTATAAAATCTTTATCATTCTTCATAAATCTTTTTTATAGATCTAATACTTGTAATTGGGATATTTTTAAAGAGGTTCACAATCAGAAAAGCATTAAAGCTGAGTATTCTACAGAATATCAAGTAAATTAAGAACAACAAAAGAGGAAGAAGAAAAATCATTTCTACTAAACACTAGAATTAATAGATAAGAACAACTAACTACAAAAAATAGATAATCACCACCAACTTTGGTATTTTCAGGATAGAAACATCAAATATTTTCTTCTTTCTTGGTAAAGAAACAGGAGATGAGGTCTTTGAGCTTTGATGTGTTGCAATAAGCCCACTAACACAGATGTTCAGCACAAAAGCACTAGTAAGAAGTACAGTGCCTCTCCAGAAATAAACATCTAGGAGAGTATTAATCAGGAGGGGTAACATGATGACACCAGCAGGTCGAGCAGCAGTGATTATCAATGTAGCCATCATTGAGTTTGGGAATTGTTCACTGATCACAACCATTGATGGAATGTATACAATAGCATTCCCAAGACCTGCAGAAATATAAAAGACTATGTAAATTATATATTGACAACAAAACAAAATATAATTTAAATGGTTAGAAGACAAATACATTTGGCTTACACCTAAAATCAACTTGAACTAGAACATTAATCCAATTGCAATAAGTTCTGTAGATAAGCTCATTTAAGGTAATGTCTTCAATTAAAAAATTCCTGTCTAAAATACTGTCCTCACTAAAACAGTGTAGTTTACTGCCCATTTGATTAAAAAGTTATGTGCAAAATTTAAGTTATTGTAGTAAATATTCACTTTGCAAATGTGTTGCCTTGCTGTTGAGAATTTTGGTGAATGTGATTTTTTGACATACCACCATTTCTATTTATTACATCAAATTTCAGACCATTTCTTGTCTTGAAGATTTCTTATATTAATAAATACAGCATCAATAAAACTATCCTAAAAAAGTAAAAACATTGATTCCTATTCACAAATGAACATTTATTCTAATCATGCTATATAAGTTGATTAAAAGGAAACTCTCTCAATAATTAACAAATTGTCTTTTTCTTTTGAGGATTTGGTATTTTAATAAATTGCTCTAAATAGACTTTTTAAATTCATTTCAAAACATATTTTTTCATTAGTCCACATTGTACTTAGACTAACAGTAGCATCTTTCTTGATTTTGTTACATTCTAACATCTGGATTATCATCAAAAGTAATTTACCTCTGTTACACTTGGAATAATTTTGTTTTTGTTTTTTTTTGGAAGATCCCTTTGTTCTAATTTGTTATATCAATCTGTGTCTTTTGTAGTCAGTCAAATGGTTACTAAATAATTATAGCTATACTGACATCTCAAGAATATTTTCAAAAGTCTGCATTCAGGAAAAAAATGCCTAAGATTGTAGCATAAATAAAAAGGTGTATTGATGCTAAGAGTTGATGCTGAAAAGTTCTCAGCCAAACTCAATTCCCTAAATAAATATTCTGATGTTTGGTCATTGAAATATTAATTTGGAGAAGTGCAATGAAATAAGAACTTTCCATCATCACCTAATACTTTATTTCAAAGTCAAAACAATACTCAACATTAATCTTTGAGAGACACAATTAGCCAAGAAAACATTTCAATATTAAGATGAATAAGCAGTTTTCAAATTAGAGTTTATTGTTGTGATTAAAGTAAATCTTCAAATTAGAAAGAAACAAAAAAGCAAGATCATATGAGGTGCTATTAGTATAAAAATAATATCAAATGGCTGGTTTGCAAAATTTGAAATGTTTGCCAATCTGTATAACATTATACCACCCCCAAACAAATGGAATAATAGTGCGCCAGCATAAAAAAAAAAAAAAAAAAAACAATTATAATGGATGAAATGAAAAAAGAAATAAAGAAAAAAAACAACCTGGGTAAATGCCCTACAAATTGAAAGGAAAACTGTATTTATCGCTGTCACTGGAATCCAACTACAACCTCCAAAACCATGAATAGAACTTAACAGTTCTACTGCTACCAAAAATTTTTAAAAAATCATTAAGCAAACTTATGAAGGATGACTAAGCAGAAAATGTCAGTCCTTTATGAAGGACTGTTACACTCAGCTAAGAAATCCTCCATACTATGGACATTTCACCCAAGAACTGTCGAGATGACAACACGTATTACTTCCCTCCATGATAGGATTTGTGATATTACATAGTAAATTACTCCCTTTCCTGTTGTTATATTCATGAAAACAAGCCTACAATTCTACTACCACTACTCCTATGGTGTAAGTGAATACACATTACAATCTACTTCCACAAATGTAAAAATGAAAACTAGATAAAGCAGATGTTTTAAAGATTCAATAATAAAAGATGGATGGAAATAAATCTTTGAAAATCAATTCTTTTTTTCCTTAAGTTTTCTTTACATCTGATTTATATTTATTATTTAAAATTGTTGCTAATACATTTTGTTTACAAATACAGAATTTAAGAAAAAATGTTCAAAAACTTACCAAAGTGCATGTATTCAAAGTTACCAAAAACAGAAGTGATTACATTCTGAACTTTAATAATTTTAGAAAATGTTAGTGCTTTTCAGTGAATTATCAAAATATAAGACTTTTATCTTAAAAAAATACTGACTTTTTGAAGAGCCTATTGTAAAAATAAGAATGGGACAAAAATTAATAAAATTTTTATCAGTGGAAAACAAACTGAGAAAGAAGATCTAAGTAGTCAATCAACAAATGTCAAAATTCATGAGATTAATGAAATATTGCTTTGTTCCTTAATAGAAGTAATCATGTCATGATGATCAAATGATATTAACAAATCCCATCATGTTTTGTCTAGTATTTTACAATTCATTAATTATTAAAAAAAATCAAGAAAAATATCTCTGCAGAATGTAACTAATTAGATCTATACAAGTTTGAAACACTAAAATGAACATTATAGTTTCACTCAGCAACAGATGCTATTTATTTTCCATTCTTCAAAATAGAAAATATTTTAACAGAAATATAAAAGTAATGAAGTCAAAAAGGAATTAGTAAGTTAACCAAGAATCTCTCTTAATTCTGTGTATTATCAATTATATCCCTTGAACTATTTCTATAAAAAGAAATCTTTAGTGAGGACAAGCACTTAGGTTGTTTAATGTTTATCGTTTAAGCAAGTTAACAAATGGTAGCAGTAATTTTGTGGGATATTTTATGTTATACACATTGCTATTTATACCAAATCTCAAGATACAACTCAACAAGCTTTAAAATTGCAACCACCATTGACGACTGAAGAGAATATTGTTTGAATGGAAAAACATTTAAAATGGCAAGTGTACATGGACTTAATAAATGTAAACAATGTCCGGCAATTTTTCTCAGTTTGACTGAACGAGCAAGAGATTGTGTTAGGGACTTGCAACCTCAGGAAATTGGTCACAAAAACAGAGTCAAGAAAATAATAGACAAACTAGACACATTGTTTTTAAAAGATGAAAATGTAACAGATAACCTGATATGAGATTCAGAGTTGGTATTAGCTAATAGTCAGCGTGGGTCTGTGATTGGGAGAGCTATATAACACCATTTTTTTCCCAGTCAAGAGAGTGCTCTCAATGTGCAGACATGCAAAAACCCGACCAGATGAACACAAACTATTTTGGTGATTGACAGACAATGGCAGACACCAAATTCTACTTGAAGTTAATTCTTGAGTTTGATCGATCTGCATCCAGTCTTCCAGTGTTGGAACTCATTTTCAGGCTATGTGGAGTGAAATCTTTGGAGCATGTGATCCCTTTGAGACTTACAGGTGGAGCATTTGCAGGTTACCAGTAGCTGGATGGCAAAGCAAAATCTGACATTGACTGGATAAAGACTGCTTTAGTTACAGCCTTTGCTACGGATTTGTTCATGGCGTACAAACAACATCGAGCAGCACCTGCAGTATTGCAAATCCATGTATGTATACCTGGCTGAATTGAAGAAACTCACATTTTTGTTGGACAGGATGAGTGACCATATACTGGTTTGTGCATTTGTGCATGGGTTGTCACGCAATGTAAAGTGGTTTCTTTGTTTATCACCTAGAATGGACATGCTGTCTATTGACCAGCTGCTTGCCCAAGCCCAGGCAATTATGAGAGACAATGAGATGGAAGAAGTCATGGTGGCAGCAGTGGCCCAACCAGTGCAAAGCACAGAAGTTCATGTCAGAAAGTCCTTTAGATGCAATGGCATTACCCACATGGCAAAAGATTGTCAGAGCTGAGAAAATGACAAAGGATGAGAGCAAGGACAACGCAATACCATGCACTGTTACTATTGCCATAGTGTGGGCCATATGTCTCAAAACTGTCTAGGAAAACTTGAGAAGAGATATGTCAGTGCCAGTATCTTCTCCAGCCTGGTGCTGGTTAATACTAGTTGTTCACTGTCTATAGCCATCAGAGAGATATACCCGACATAAAAGTGCCTGTATGCATAACAACTCTAAATGGGGAGTCCAGAGCCTGTTGTCATTGCTGTCCAGTTGCAAGGTGGAAGCCTTATTGAGATTGACATACTGGTGGCTCATGAGAAGCCACTTTGTTTCAACCATCTGATCAGGATGAATGCAATCAAGGAACTAGTGGGAGTAGGAATCATTCCTTCGGGTGCAGTGGAGTTCTTTGACAGAAAATCATCCCTGTGTGGCTCTCACCATAGAGGAACCAGACTTTAGCATAGAATTCAATCAGAAAGAGAAAGTGTGGACACTGTCATGGAAATGGGCCAAAAATCAGGCACCAGTGAACAAGATATCAGTATCCTATGTCCGAACAAAACAAGATATCAGTATCCTATGTCCGAGCTAGTACGTAAGGAATATAACCAGGAGTTAAAAACATGGTTGGATAACAGCTGGCTCATACCATATCCTGAGAACCTCCCAAGGGTCTAGTTCCACTGATGGGTGTTATCCAAGGGAGCAAGAAAAAGGTACACTGTAATGGATTACAGAGAGTTAAACCAGTATGTAGACATGTTCACAGCAAGTACTGATGTCTGTACGGACAAGCTATGGGAATGGTGAAACGTGGGTGCAATGTATCGCTGTTGAAACTTAGGAGAGCATACCTACAGGTCCACAAACACCGGTTGATGTGGCCTTTTCAGACCATCTTACTGAAATGGCAGATTAGAACACGATTAGGCCTCAGCCTCAATCAGGAAGGTATTTATCAAGGTGGTATTGCCGCAGGATGAAGCAATCCACTTTGGCATACATAGATGACATCTTCATTGACAAAAGTGTGGCTTCTGTGGCGTGTGTCAGAAAGCATATGTCTGACTTTGAACTGATCTGCAAGGACCCCATGATACAATGGTGCAAAAGTGCTTAGTTTGCAAGTCTGAGGAGCATGACGTGTTTCAATGGAAATGAGCGAGTAAGTTCCCAGATACTCCAACTGTTATCACACATCATAATACGTTCTCTCTCTGTGGAATGTTCATAGGCCACCTTGTGGTATGCGGTTGACTTAGG